ATTCAGTATCTTCTGTGGTACTTTCATTCCTTCTCTGTTTTGTGATAGTACCTCTTCTCTTGTAAGATGGCCTTTCCTAGCTGTTGATATTTAAACGTGTTACATATTCTCATAGACACAGTGGGACATCTGATCTAGGTAGGAGAACCATACATCACATTGAGAGGGAACAGGATTTCTCACCCAAACATGAGCATGTACAGTAAGTGTATATTTTATTCAGTTTGGCTAAAAGTAACAAACTTGGCAAGCATGCACTTGATAGTTTCTATTACCCAATCTACTAAATCATCAGACTGTGAGTGATAAGGCAAAAATGCATCTTTATCGCACCTGACACTTTACATACATCAAAGAAAAATTGGCTGTTAAAATTACCTTCCCAATCCAAGTGGAGCCTCAAACAGTGATATCCAGTGCTCCAACTATATATACCTGCTACGAGCTGTGCTGACAATTGATCAACAAAATTTATGCTAAAAAAAGTAAAATGTCCAATGCTCAACACTTAAAAATTCTAACAGTACTAGTTTAAGGAGTTTGTTAATAAATAACTTTCATACAGTCTTGATCTATAGGAAATCTGTGGTATCTAAATTATTTTTTCTGTCATATGGATTAATCATCTACATCTAATTTTTACCTCGAGTTTGTTATAACATAAGGGTAATTAAGTTATAACTTAACAGTATTTACACTATAGGTGCTGCAATAATGAAATTAATGGTCCTAAGAGCATTTATTTCCTGTGATACCTTGGAATTATATTTTAATTTTTACAACCTGACCTCTGGTATAGCGGTAGTAATATGTGTAGTATGACTAACAATAATCTGAATCAGATGTAATTTACTAAGTGTCATGCTTGGGAGTTAAGATGTTTTTGTATCAAATCTAAAAAAATGCAGAGCTCTATTGTAATGCAGATGAATTGATACATTAAGTTATTAATTTAAATCCTATTTCATAATTTCTTAAATGTTATTATTCTGTTCAACTTACTTCTTAAACCAAAATAAATAATAAAAATTCATATAGCTTCAAAAGTCATTTATAACTTTACTTTCAGACATATATGTATATACAAATATATATATATACTTACAGATAGTAGAGTGTTAAAAAAAATACCACACCCAGTACCCAGTTAGGGAAAGAAGTTACAAAACTTAAACTCTCCATGACATTGACAAGGTATTGTATACGGTACAACGTAAACGGTAAAGATAATACTTCTGTACTAACCACTTCAACTTGTTCAAGTATTATATATACCAACGATAAAATCTGATATTATTGTGCATTACGCCTGCGTGAGATTTGATTGATGGTTGGCCTTGAAGTTTTTTTTTTAAAGCGTCATACTTCTACTGTTTTAGACTTTAGTTCACACAGAAACGTAAACACATACGACTACATTAAACACACTTTACTCTCAAAATTGCGGGAAGCAGGATAAAGCAATAAGCCTCCTGGTATTGGAGTTGCCGCACACTTGCTTATGCTGTTAGAAAAATAATGTTTGTTTATATTATTCATGTTTTGCACTACGTGTTTCTCGATTGTCTGCGCAAAGACATGTAAATACAGTTTGATTATCTTTTTTACATATAATCTAAATCGAGTTCCATTACCAAATTTGGAAGTCTGTATTCACTAATAACGATAATTCCAGTTGTGTACAAGGCCTACGTGTTCATGAGTCCATAACTTTAAGTGTATATGTGTGAGCGTTAATGATTCTTCTGCTGTAGGTGTCTGTGACTTGTTGGGGTAAATTCGAAGAATAAACGGACAGCACACACTCTACTTGTTTTACGATAATAAACAAGATAAACTTATTGTTACGTCTCTGTTCGTTTGTTAATTTCCCGTAGAAATTCTTCCCGAGAAACTTCAGCGATACAAGTCCTTTCTCAAATAAAACTGGTTTATTATTTCTGAATACAACTTTGCGATACACTTAATTTCAACAGTCGCGCTATAACAAACGCTATAATTCATAACGAACGTCTCACGTGCTCAACAATATTCTCTCTGTCCGCAGTTCAATTACACATTACCTTCCGTTTTTTCTTTCTAGTCTATCACTACTAAATTAGGGATGGCTAATGCAATCAAAGCCCTTAGAAATAGTATATGCAAAGATTTAAAATGGTATATGCGTCTTTCTATAAGATGAACCTTGTCTATTATCAGAAGACTTTAAAATAGAGAAACTTGTTTCAAAGCATTCCTGTGTCTCACCTCAGTTTCAAATTGATGCAGGAATATGTCAAAAGAGGTTTCCTAATTTCAACTTCTGTTAGTGATAAGTTGTTCCAGTTGTTGTGGTGTTTTTTAACTAGCCTTTTAACTGTTACACAATAATTTGAATAAATACACACAATATTGTGTTCTTGTATTGCTATATAGTTTAATTTGACCAACTTCTATGATTTTGTGACATTTTGGTTGTGCATTTGCCCATTGTTTACTAAAAAAAATTAGTAAAAAAATCTATAATGGTACTTTTTTTTAGTGTTACAAACTATTTTTGTTAATATCGTGAATTTGTTAGAATGCATATCAATTATCAGCCTTTTAATTAGAAAGGTGGTGTATTTATAATGATGGCATTATGGTAGGAATAGAGAGTTTCCATTTGATACCTTCAAATACTTGTTCTAAAAAAAGAAGAAATGTTAGGGGTTTTCACACCCATAATTTGTATTATGAAATTAGATGATACAAGTATCAAGTATAGTTGAGTAAGAATGCTTCAATGGAAAAGTAAAGCTTGATTTAAGTAGAATAAACTAATTTATTCAATTTTTTTGTTTTTTAATTAAAGATATATGAGAAAAAAATGCCATTACTGGTTGGATCGTGGTTTGCCAGCAGCTACCTCACCGTTTGAAATACTGAAGTTCAGAAAAGTTAGTTTTGTTAAGAATAATAAAAAAAATACAAGCTAAGTGTACTAAAACATTAAAAAGTTACTATAACTTTCTACTGAAGCTCATAAAATTGATTGAATTTCAGACTTTTGATCAATATTTTGATTTTATTAAATGAAAGAATCCAATATACGGGTGAATAAAATTTAGAAAAGTATTGTTGTTTTTGTTAAACTCAAATATACCAATCCATCATGTAAAGCCAGGAAAAAGTAGTTTACTATATTATTCAATGAAATGAATAGATTATATAGTTCCAGAAGTACTGAACATCAAGAATAAATTAAAATGTTAATCGTATTAGTGCCTACAAGATTAAGTTGTTAAAGGTGTGCAACTTGTATAACTTGCAACTCTTGAAAATATCAAATTATAAATAGGGATACATCAGCTGATAATACTCTGTATCTACTCCTAATTAAAACTAATTAAATATACAAAACAAAATTATAATAATATGTAATGTAAAGTAGCAACATAATTTCTGAAAATTGATGTTTAAACTAATCTCAAACAGTTAAATATTACTTTTTCTTCTTTCCACTAGTAGTTAGTCGTGCTTCAGAATGCTCCTACAGATACATCTGTACATCAAATACTTTATGTAAATTATGTAATTTTTTAAAATATAATGAGTCAATATGCTATAAATATTATA